AGAAAGGAAAAGCACTTCTGACAAGGTCTCACCTCCATGACCAACAGCCCTCAGCCAGCAGCTTTGACTTGCATGTGGGGACTGGGTTGGAATAAATGGACTAATGGCTTTTCAGAGTAAATTTCCCAATTATCACCTCAGAGGATAATACAATTATTTGGAAAATTTAAAACCATTTTAATAAATCTGATTTCTGTGAGTGCCTAGCCCTGCATCCCTACTAACTTCACCCTTCAAAAATGAAAAGTCTGCTTTGCTTAAAGATTTGACAGTTTAAAGTTTTATAGCGCATACAACAGAGCATGGAAATGCGTCCTTCAGTATGACGTTGTTTCATTCAGCAAAATCACTGAATTCAATATTTCTAGAATGTCAACGAGTTTAAACAGACTCAAGCTATTTGTGGCTTTATTATGCTCAAGCGCAGGAACCAGAGGAGAGCTGTAACTGCAGCAATATTCAAAATAACACATTCCCTGGAGGAAACAGTTTAAACATTTGAGTATTGCCCAGTATCTCTTTCTTCTTTGGTTTAGTTGTTTTGACTTTGTTTATTCATCCTTGTCTCGAAGCGCTGGCTTCATCCTGTGCTGCCTTAATTTGTTCCCAACAACTGTGATTCCTCAACACAAAAGAATGAAAGGAACTCTTAATGAAAAACACAATTTGTTCATCTTGGGCATGAGTCAATTACTAGGGCAGCATTACCGAACACGCTTCGTATTTTGTTTCTCAAGTATTCAGAGGAATGTCCTATGGAATAAACGGAAAGGATGTATTGATTCTGACATGTTTATTTTCATGGCAAAGACAGTTTGGGTTTCCAACAAGAACAGCACATTCAGCTTTTGTTGTCCATGTGTTTGTTGGATTGCTCCCAGTAACTTTTATGGGTGGATTTTTTTTTAAACAGTCCTTTGACAGACAGATGATTGTAGTTTGTGGGTCAGGATTTCTTCTATTATTTCATTCTTTGGAGCTTACACCAAACGCACTGGAAATGTGGGAGTGTTGTTTATTTGACATGGTTTTTCACTCTAGGCAAACAGGTTGCAAAGGCTGTTAAGTTATTGTTCACATCGTTAGTGATGTGATGCTAGCTAGTGTTTAACTTGTGCCATGATACAGAAGTTAAAAGTTATTAGTGATGTATGCATCAAGATGCATACATCGATAAGCCCTAACATTATGGCCACAGAAAGGTGAAGTGAATAACATTGGTTATCCTTTTACAGTCGTGGGGGGTATATTGGGCAGCAAGTGAACATTCAGTCCTTGAAGTTGATGCATGGAAGCAGGAAAAAAAGGGCAAGAATAAGAATCTGAGTGCCTCTGACAAGGGCCAAACTGTGATGGCCGATTACTGGGTCAGATCATCTCCCACACTGCAGGTCTTGGTGGGTGTTCCTGGTCTGCAGTGGTTAGTACCAACCAGCAGTGTCTAAGGAAGGACAGACAGTGAACTGGTGACAGGGCATGGACGCCCACAGCTCACTGATGATGAGGTTGACCTACTGTAGACCTTTTCAAAAGATTCCACTTTGAATCTTTGTTAAAAAGGTTGAAAATCAGAAATACTGTACATTGGTTTCTATGAAGAGAAACATTCAGCGGCTTTAGTGATGATATCAAACATAGAGTGGTGAGACTGTTGAATTTGTCTAAGAACTTATCTGTAACTTGTCCTCACCACCACAGTTTTCACTCCTGTTACATAAGTTTTTCACAGAATGGTCGACACACGTGCTCTTCCTGACAGTAGAACTATGGAAACAAACAGATTCACAGAAGATGCACAGTGAGCTGCAGGGTGACGAGCGCCAACCAACTGCTGCTTTGACTCCTGTCTACACAGTACTGGGCACGTGGTCATAAGGTTATGGCTGATCAGTGTATGTAGTGGAGGTTTGCCAACTTACAAAGACTGCTTGGAGAAACATTTTCGAGGATGGAGCAGTTAAACAATTTCACTGGTTTTACCAAATACAAATGCTATTTTGTCAATTTTAAACCCCATCAATGCATAGCCCATTACTCCATCATGCTATGTATCATAACATTGCAGTCAAATAACTAAAGAGATACTTAGCCCAGTATCTGGTGCTGCTGTTTTGCACCTAACAGTTACCTAAAGCAGTAACAACATCAAAATGTTTGGGATGCAGATTTGACTTTAGAAAAAAAAAAGGGCAGAATTGTGTTGAAAATGTAGATTTGCACTATTTCTTCACTGTGGGGGGAAAAAAAAATCTCACAGCTCTACAGGTTAACCTTTCAGCTGATGTGTTACGCTGTCAATCTTTGAGTCATAATTACCGTTTCTGACTTAAGGGGTGTCTGAAATGTGTGAGCCTTAGATAGAGTTTGCGTGACAGACTGGATAGATAAATTAAACTTATAGAAACATTAACAACAAGATGAAAAATGGAATTCTCAGTCATGAAGAATACTAATTACCTCGGAGATGTGGCACCAAGAAACCTGACAATTAGACAGATATTTTGTTGTGATTAATACCTCCTCTACTGAGAACACTTCTTCACACAGCCTCTTTTGCTCTTATCCTGGAAGACAGACTGTAAGCTGAAACAGCCCAGGCTGGCTGTCAGGAGAATTCATATTGTTCTCACATAATATAAATCAATACAGGGCTCCCGGAGCTCCAGCATGACCAAAAAGCTTTGTGGAACCTTAGCAAAAGATTGAGCCACAATTGTCCCAGGCACTATGTTGTTTTGTTTGATTGTTTTTTTTACTAAATGTTACACAAATACTGTATAGTCACATAAAACCTAATGAATAATTAACAGAGTGATAATGCTCTTTGAAAACACTTTAGCTGGTATGGTTTTATGGACAGCCCAGTGTTGATGCTCAGCCTGGTATCACACAGACATTATCCATTTGATGGTTTTTATGTGCGATGTCATTCAGATGTAAAGGCTGTGGGCCGAGCAGAACCGTGCAGCCAGCAGGAGAAAAAACTGTGCAGTGGTTCGTAAGCAAACGCAAACCCTGATGCTAGGAACCTTTTATTTGGCTTATGCACTCAGAGAGCGTTTTCATTCACGTGAGTGGGCAGCATCTTTGAGTCTTCTAATTATTGTTATACATCACTGTATTTGCCCCCTGATTTACACCATTCAGTTCTCTCTGTTCCACTGTTATTAGAGACATGTCTGAGTTACGAGATATGGTTACTATAGCCAACCCTGAAGTTTTAGTTATGGCTACAAATTTCAATGATATTTTCTTACTTGCTTGACAGAACCCAAAGTTCTGGTTTCACTTTGGCTCATTGTTTGCAAACATGTAACATACTAACATTAGCATTTAGCTCAAGGGCCTCTGTGTCTAAGTATAGCCTGCCAGAGCTACTGCCTAGGGTGCATAGGTTCTCTGTCTTTTTAAACCTAAGCCTTGATTGAGACACTTAATGCTTTTCATATGGTCATTAAGCGTCACTGGAGCCTCTGCAAATGTTCTAGTGAAAGGTGAAACTTGTGTCACAGCAGCATCAACACTGGCCTCTTATAATAAAGCCTGACCATGCAGCTTTGTGCATGTCCTAGAGTAATATCAGCATTAGCAAAATAGTATTATATTTACCCAATGGTTATGTTAGTTTCTGTGTTGTTATAGAGATTTTCCACAGTGTTGTGCAGTCTACACTGTCATTGTCCTCCTTTCCACCTCAGACTTCATGTCCTCCAGGAATAGCCAGATATAGCCAATATGCTAAGCTCAGGGGCTTAGGTTGCAGGTCATTTCCCAGTGGGATCAGCTAGCTCCTGCAGAGGTTTTGTGATAAGAGTGGATATTGGAAGCTATGTAAATCTTGTTAAGATGCCCTTCCCATGTGTGCAGGGGGGGGTAATCCTAAACACCTGGGATAGTTAACTGGGATGTGATGGGATTTGGAGCTCTGTAGGACCAACCTCACCATACCCCTGGTTCAATTCATTTACATTCTCCTCTCTTCACGTTCACTCCTTCATAATCCAAACCCAATCTAGCAGCTTCACAACAGTTGGCTTTTATACTGAGCTGTTTTATCCCAATTAGTTATTCAGGACCACAAGTAGCCGTGTAAAGTTTTTGTAGCTTTGGTTAGTCTGGACGTTACCATTCTTCTTGAATTTTAGTTCTTTTTGAATGTGGTAAAGTGATGTATGTTTTTGGTCTAATGAATATTGCTACTCAGAATATATTTTTATGATTTTATTGGTCAGATTTTTAGCCATGGCTTTAAAGATCCTGCTCTGTTGGTTGATTAACTACGTCTCATAGTATCTGCTGGATGACTGTACAGTGTACCGAATGACATATGTGTGTATAAATATATATATACACATACTGTATGTACAGCCTCACACCATGGTTGTAGATTCTTAGTCTTGTTTTTGTTTCAGGCCAATCAAAGCTGAGAGCCAAAAGCCAGTTTTCAAGGCTTTATTTTGGTGAGATGCAGGAACTGAGAAGACAGAAAAGGGATAACTTTCAACAAAATTCTGGGTTTTTTGCCTTTCATGCTTGGTAGCATACTGTAACTATGGGTGCCACAAGGCTTAACTAGCTTAACTAACTTCATTAATTTATTTATTTACATTTGTTATTCAAGTTGTCAGATTTCCACATGTTATTTCAGAATTCCATGATCCTTTTCTTGGAGCCAGATGTGAAGTTAATCAGTTAAGGGTCACTGCAGTACAAACATTGAGTGTGTACAGTATTTACTTGGGATTATAAATTCAAGGTTATTTTTCATTATGGTGCAAAGGTTCTCGAACATTGCAGCAATTTAACTGCAATAACCTCAAAGTTATGGCAAAATGATCCATATTAATTTTCAGTTTTCTTTCTGCGTATCTTCGTATTTGGTCATGCATTCTGAGCAGCAGCAGAATCAATTACATGATACATAATATAAAAGTGGCGTCATCATCACGGATGTTACAGCTATGTCAACTAATCCCTCCTTCCTGCTTTCTCCTTTCTAGATGTGGATGAGTGTGCAGAGGCGCTTGACAACTGCAGTATCGATGCCATCTGCCAGAACACCCTGAAGTCATACAAATGTATCTGCAAGTCAGGCTACAAAGGAGATGGCAAACATTGTGAAGGTAAATGTCTTAACGGATTAAAGCACTCATTTTCGCATGTTATTTGGAGGCAAAAACTTTTGATCCAGTTTGTGGGAGCATGGGGAGGATTTTTGGAGTAAATAGAACTCCAAGCTACATTTCTCATGCGGATTTGCCTTATCTCTAAGAACGTAAACACTTGGGCCAGTGACAGGTTGGATCAGAGCTTTTGTCTCACTTAACATAACTTATTAACTCCAGAAGAGAAAAGCAAGTTGAGGGAGCAGGCGACTGATGGAGGCAGAGGAAGAGGAAAGCCAGGTGCAGAGTGCTCCTCTGTGACAAGATGAAATGAAGCAGTAAATTTCCTACACATGTTAGAGGAGAGAATTAAGATAGCGGCTGAAATGGCAGTCTGAGGTCCTGCCAAGCAGTCAGGGATATTTCCACAGCCTGAGGCTGACCTCGTACACCGTGAGACATAAGTCTGTTGTTCTAACCTTTTCAGTGCTCAGAGCCTCTGGATCATTATATTCCACAATCTCTTTTAGTATTATTACAAAACTGTATTTCACAGTGTCACTTTTTCCCCTGCTATTATTATTCTTTCATTTACTTGATGCAGTGTTTTTCATGGCTTTCTGCTTGTAGGTCATAAAAGTTTGCTTTATTGACTCTGTTGTAAAATATGTGCAAGTTCGGGTTTCAGTTGAATTGACGGTTAACTGGTGGCTTCTCAAAGCTGATGCACTTGAAAAAGCAACAGTCAGAAGCATTGCTGATAAAATTTAAAAAATACAAAGTTTTAGTAATTGGTAACTTTGAGGAAGATGATGTCTTCCTGCCTGTTGAATGTAGCCTTGTACAAAAAAGTTGCACCTGGCCAGCACTGATGTGTTAAAAAACAGGGGGCAGCAAAAAGCATAAATACATACAATAATAATGAAAATGGAAAGCATTGTCATATTTCCACATTGTGTGTTGTTGAGTTCTCATGTTCGTCGACCTTAAAGCATAAGGTTGGTCATTATTAAAAGTATTTTCAACATTCCCCATACAGAAACTAAAACGACAGTGATTTGTCTCTGCTTATGATTAATGTTTGTCAGTCCTGGGTTACCTTATTCGACTGTGCCATAGACCTCCATTGTTGTTTAAAAACAGTGAAAATCACAGCAGTGAAATGTACCGATGTACCGGGCGACATGCTTCCTCAGACCCTGTCAGAGGCTTTTTCCCCTGATTTCACGTCGAACCAACGATGGACCGGTCGGACCTCGTGGGTGAGAGAGACCACTCTGATTAACTGTTCTGCTTAGTGAATCAATGCATGAAAAGAGACTGGTACAGGTCTTCTGGACCACGCAGCAGTCGTCCTACTTCACTGCTAGTTCTTTCATGTAGGCTTGGTGTGTCTCTAAGAGCTCCTCCAGCCTGCTTGTTTGTGCGCCCAACAGTTCTGATTAGAAGTTTACGTTTTAGGGATTCATATAAAGACTTGTCCAATATAACTGTAGCTGTTCCTAAGATGTGTTCTCATATGATGTTATCACCAAATGGGACACTCAACTGTGCAGGTCTTTATTAGGTTTTTCTAAGGGCTTTAACCAGAAAATATGATAAATAACAATTCCCCAAACATCACCATGTAAGTAATTTTCTGTTTATTATTTCATTTTGTATTAATTGTAATATGATTTTAAATTGGATTTGTCAAATTGTTGTCTATACTGTCTTGCATTTTATTTTATATCAGAATCTTGTTTGCAAATCAAACGAAAAGCTGTTACTCATATTGTTATTGCATCCGTTATGTTTTAGCTGTGGAATTAAATTCATGATTTGTTTTTTTATTATATACACTTGATTAAAAGATAAATCTACATACAGGAACTATACAAGAGGCAAAACTTTAGAGTTGACTTGGTAGGAAGTGACAAGCACTGAATAAACATATTCAGAGCTATTGGAGGAGAATCACTTTGTGTTAACATGAGGTGGGTGTATTCAGGTTTAGAGCTGAGTAGGAAAGCGATGGGCGATTGTGTGCTGTGATCAGGGATCGACAGAGATGTGAGAAGTAGAGAATCCAGGAGCAGGACAATGTTTCTTTGTTTCAGTCCCACTCCTCTGCTGTCAAGTCCAATTAAGCCTTGAATGAGGCATCCTCATAGAGGAGCTGAACGACCAGGATCATCGGCTCTAAATGGGCCAATAAGTGCTGAATGGAAGTGCACTGTGTTCATAATTCACCTTGTCTGGGTCTCCTCAGCCTGGGGCCCTCAGCCATCACCATAACCGTAACAGACAACTCCACTCAGGTTGTCATACCAGTTTGGACTCTTCCTTTGTCTTTGTACCTCTATTCTCTCATTTATTCAAGATTTTTGAGATTTTTTTTTATTGTAAATTAACTATTTGTGCAGGACATACAGAAAAATTGAAATACTGTTTCTTTTATTTATGTCATATTTCTGAAGTGTTAACAGTAGATACTATACTGTTGAACTTTAGGGTCAGGTTGATTTGTTGCTCTGAGCCAATATTTCCCTTTTGTTACATAAGTACTGGCTACCAGTCAGTCTGTGATGTCAGTAATAAGTTACATCCTTTAGCATTAAATGGCGTAATTCTTCTCTAACAACTTTATTTTCCTTTTGCGGTTAAAGTTTCCCAAAATTGTTTTTTTTTTTTAAATAAATTCTTATACTTCACTACTAACCTGCCGTCCGACTAGGGCCGATCTGTGTGGAGTTTGCATGTTCTCACTGTGACCGTGTGGGTTTCAGCCAAGTATTCTGGTTCCCTCCCATAGTCCAGAAACATGCAGTTTATGTTAACTGATAACTTTAAATGGTCATAGGTGTGAAAGTTTACACCACACAGCTTGTCAAGAAGGCCCAACAGTAGCTGTACTTCCTGAGGAGGCTGAGGAGGTTCGGCATGTCGCCTAGGATCTTTAGCAACTTCTATAGCTGCTTCATTGAGAGTATCTTGACCAGCTGCATCACTGTCTGGTATGGCAGCACTACTATGGACCGCAAGCACCTGCAGAGAGTGATAAAGACTGCGGAGAAGATCACCAGGACTCCACTGCCCTCTCTGCAGAGCATTTACCACCACAGGGTGCATAGGAAGGCTGTCTCCATCCTCAAAGATCCCACCCACCCCCAGCACGGACTGTTCTTACCCCTGCCCTCCGGTCAGAGGCTCAGAAGTGTGAAATGCAGGACCTCTAGACTGAAAACTTTTTTTTTACGACTGCCATCAGACTCCTAAAGAGCTGACTCAGGATCTACCTCATGTAATTCCATCTGTACTGTTTACATACTCATTTTGCACATGCATAATTGCACATTCACTGCTGAGTATTTACACTCCACTGCTCCCACGTAGCATATATTCTTTCTGCATTGTATTGTGTTCTTGTTGTATTTTTATTTGCTCCCTTCACTTGCTGCTTCAAAGTGCCTTAGATTTGTGATTTTACTGCCTATTTAGATTTGTGTTACTGCTCATCTACTTTATTTCACTTGTATTGTGTTCCATTCACGTGGACGGCAAAGTAAGAATTTCATTGCACAGCGAAACACATTTCGTAACTGTGCATATGACAAACACCTTGACCTTTGACCTAATGGCTATCTTTCTCTACATTATGTTGCCCTATGATAGACTGGCAGTCTGTACAGGGTGTATTTTGCATCTTGCCCAATATCCAGTCCCCTGGGGACCCTCAATGATAAGAGGTTATAGCCAATGGATGAATGGACTTTAGCTCTGGCTTTATTCTCTGTGTCATGGTAGAACTGTTACCATGTTAGACAACATTTCAAATGCTTTCACATCCTCCCGGCAATCTTACTAGGAAAAAGAAATGTGTTGGCACTGATCAGGCAACAGGATATTAAATATGGCATAATAGTTTGACTGTTGGTAATAGACTTTAAAATCTAAATGTCAGTGAAGCTCTGGCATTTACCCAAGTTATATCAGGAACAGGTGAATCAGCTAATTACCGCAGCTGCTTTCTCATTCCAGTTTACCTCATAAGTGCTCTTATGAAAGTAATAATGGAACAAAACGGGTCGGTTATATTCTCTAATATTGTATTAAACAGCTTAATTGCACTCGCATTCAACATTTTATTTTGTTGCAAGTTAGCTGAGAAGATCAATACCACTGTTGGGTCCATATGGTGAATATGAAGCTGGGCCTGGTTATCATAATCGGCACAAAATCTTACCTACCAGTATCTTGTAAGCTCAGTAATCATTACATTATAAATTGATCTTGTATTTAGTGTTTGGTTTTTGTATAGATTAGACGCACATGGTATGACATATTAATCAGTGAGCTTTAGAGGTCCTGATAGGTGGATTTGGTCACCTTCAGACAGGACCCAGGCTTTATGCTATACTAAGCTAACCAGCTGCTGGCAGTAGCTTCATGTATAATCGATGCGAGAGTGGCATTAATCTTCTCATCTTCAATTGTCTGCAAGAAAGAAAAGAAATGCATTGTCCCAGAATTGTGAGCTTCATTTAAGACTATGCGTGCATCCTAATTTGTAACTGGAATTTAATGGTTACAAATTGTTGAAATACCTGTTCTCATCCTTGTGTATCATCTGTCTGCAGATGTCGACGAGTGTGCAACTGAATACAACGGCGGCTGTGTCCACGAGTGCATTAACATCCCAGGAAATTACAGGTGCACATGCTATGATGGCTTCCGCTTGGCACATGATGGGCACAATTGTCTAGGTGAGTGCGATATATGTGCTTAAAACAGCATGTGTGTTAAAACACATTTTTTCCATACATTTTCTGCAGCTTGTTCAATTATACAGGAGGGTGTTGTTATAGGGGAAAACGTATACATTAAACTGCACCTGCCAGATGTCAAGCGCCGCCTGACATAACCCATAAGGTTGCATAAATTCTTCTCTCTGCATGTGTAATGTCACATCACAGATGGTAATGTATGTTTCAGGGCTGAACTGAGCTCTTATTATACTCCTGCATTAGATATTAGCTATTTTCTCATTTCACATAGCAGATATGTTTTCACAAAAGTTAAAAACATACCTTTTTTTTTTTAATTAAACAAATCTAACTAAGGGAGTGAATTTATAAAGATCCTGAGCTGGGTGCGCTGAGTGATCCATCAGCTGACTGCACTTTCCCATGGTTTAGTATTTCACTAAATGTGCCATTCATATGGGCCTCACAGAGAACATACTACACTTAAGAGTTTTTCCTGCTGCTGGGAGCTGCTAAACATAACCATCAGCCACCCACCCCCTTACTTTGTCCTTCTCTCTTCCTTTCCCCCCCCCATCCACCCATTTTACATTCCTTTTGTTTTGTTTTGAAACCCCCAAGTCAGACCCTGCCACTCCTTGGTAATCTTCTCCCTCTTGGCTCCAACCTCAGCATGATGCATTTCACTTGATATTTGAAGCCAGCTAACCCTGGCGTGTGAGTGTTTGTAGAGGAAAGTAGTAGGTAGCCTGCTACAGTGGATTTCACATTCAGGTGAAGTGATGACAGAAAAACTTATCAGCACTTAACAATGATTCACTGTGAAAGGGCACACAAGGCAGCACACTCATATCAGTCCCACATTTACTGGAAGAACTGTATGTAATACTGTGATTAAGGTACACTGGAATGGAAAACACTTTTTTAGATCGATAATAAACCTGTTCAGACTTGATGATGCCACCATGTCTCAGATTCTCTCTTTCTTTCCCTCTTGCTGGATTTCCATCCCTTTCTCTTCTCCTCTTACATTCACTGTCTGTCTCTGCCTCTCTCCTCCTCTTGTATCTACTTTGTAAAGCGAGGCTATTTTCCAAGCCATTTAACAATGGCATTCAGTTGTGTGTGGATCATTTGCTATGTCGTGGATCAGCTCCTGCCTTGCGTGCAGGTGTGTAATCACGATATATGGTTGTGTGGCTGCTGCTGTAGCATAGTAACAGTTGTGCCCATCGATCCCTTTGGTATAATTTGTCATAGTGAAACAAACACAAACATGGAGAGAGCTTTCAAGTGTTTTTTTTTTCCCCCATGTTTTATTTTATTTTCCCGCAAATGACCTGTATATATAAGGGTAGAGACTTCTCTGCTGGATGGCAAATATGCAGCTGTCAAGTACAAATCCAACTCTTACCTTAAGATCGTGCTTTTCTTGAGAATTTAACTCATTCTAAGGCCCCTGCTCTGCTCTGCTAAGAGAATAATCCTCAGTACAAACACGAGAGGAAAGGAGGAGTTGGAGCTGAGGTTTCATATTAAGGCCCCAGTTTCCTCTTCCAGGTTTAAACTCATTTTTGGCCCCTGAGAAAAGATTAGTCCCCTTGGCCTTGGAACAGAGAGCCTAAGCTCCTGGTTCCCAGACAAGGTCAAACCCTCACGGCCCTTATAGACCAGATGTGCCAGAGGCGTCAGACCAGGAGATACTCACCTGATTATCAAAAGTTCACGCTGAGTTTAGAGTCTGGAGATCTTTAAGGTGATTCTTTGGATTTGCTTCATGTTGTTTTTTTCACAAAGCTCCAGAGATTATTTTATTTCCTTTGCTGTTCATGGTTACAGTGGCGTATGAATTCCCAGTGGTGTAACATAAATTCCTGCTCTCAGTCATATTTTTTTCTTTAGCCTTAGACACCGGTCCGGTGCGGGTGTCAGCTCAAGAACACGAGTTAGGCCAGCGAACACGCATCTCTGTCCATGTCTCCTCTGTTTGCTCGCCACTGCATGTGCCACACGGCTCTTTGTAATTGGACGTGTTGGCAGCATAATGACATTGGATGGTGGCAGAAGGCAGCGGAGCGTGAAGCAGAACGCTGCCTTGTGCGCCTCACCGGGGACGCTCTGGCTTCAGAGGTCTCCCCTGTCTGCCCTAAATGGCACAAAGATGCCAGGCAGTCAGCAAGATGGAAGCGATGCAATATCACAGCATGCTGCTCCTGTCTGTGTGGAGTGACACGTCGCTCACTGTATAATTTACGTCAGGTGTTGGACCATCTCAAAACTCACACACTGAAGTGAGGAATACAAGAACTTGATCACTGACATTACTATTATCTTACAGAGGTGAAGGAGGGATGGTATTTAATCTACACACCCCTTTCATGGCAGGCTGTAAAGGATTTTTCATGTCTTAGGAACAACAGAGGAATCAGTGTCACTTTAATCCAAAGCACACATCCTCTTTACAATGAGAACCAGATGCAGAGGCTATTAGTTCCCCACTGTAGCACCACCGTCCCCACATTTATGACCTGTGTGTTTTGTTTGAGGTTCTGCAGAAACCCAAATAGCATCTTATCATTGCTAGTTCATTAAACTCTCACAAGTAGCTTAATATAATAAGCATCTGCACAAATACTCCCTGTTTTTATCACTACAAATCACAGCATGTCCCTTCTATCTGGAGCAAAAACACTCAAATAAAGAAGTTTCTATGCTCTTAATAAAGTGGAAATGCCATAGTCGTATGCAGCCTGAATGTGACTCCATGGGAGAAACAAATGTTGGCTTTAAACAAACATTACTGATGTTCCACAGAGCACTATTGTGCTGTAAAGGATCCGATTTTGTCATTGCATTGTTCCCTTATAGTCATCATTCTCTGCTCTGTCACATATTATTCCCTGTTGGACATCACACACACAGCTTAACAGGCCATGTTCCTTTGATTTCTATTGACCAACACTGATTTGGTTTGTATTGATTGAACAGAGCACAATTCCTCGTGCAATCTGTAAGAAAATGAATGACCTTTTACTTTAACCTCCCCCAAAGACGTAACATAATCGATAATACAAAAGCGGTGTCATTACAGCTTTGAATGGGCTTCTGAAGGTAGCAGCTTTTAAAGTTCATGTCGGTTAAGTCTGTGTTATTCTAATGATTGTAATTGTATTTTTTTTGCCACATTGGGAAGGCCCAGAGTTTTTGCTAAAAAAGCTTTATTAGTCATCTACCACACAGTCTCTGTACAGCGTGACCAGGTTCTTCTAGTCCTTTGGGATTGTGTTGCAAGGCTGACTAATCAAACTGGTTTTAGAGTGATGTATTATTGACCAGGTTCTGATGGGGGGGACCAGTAGTCCCCAAAGAGTGTCATGCTGATTGGCCCTGCAGCCTTTTAAATGCTTTGGTCAATCTTCCAAGGCAGCAATGATAACCTCCACACCCCTCACTCTGGCAGAAAATACCTGATTCTGGTCTGGATGAGGTGTCTCCAGCCTACCGCCTTTAACTCCCTAATAAGTAGGATTCAGTCAGGGCTATGATGATCTGGTAAACTGCACTCCCTTTATACTTAGATACACTTATAATACACTTGGGGCTAAGCACTAGCCCTCCTCGCTTTTCTGTCGCACATGCAAATACCTTGCACTTTCGCCCACGAGCAGCGCTTTTGTTGTGACACACACATGGGTCAGGTTTGGACAAGAGAGTCTCTCCACAGCTCAGAGGAGAGGAACTGGAGTGATGAATTAAAGGATGAATTTGAGATTAGTGCATTAGCTGGCTCCTGAAGACTATATCAACACACACACACACACACACACTCTCTCTCCCTCCCTCCTCCATCAGTCGCAGCCACCATGAAATGAACAATTCCAGCTGAGCCCACTGGCAGGCCTTTGGGGGAAACTCAAGCCTGAGACTGGGCTTAGGGATGCAAGATGTAGCAGACTGGGAGCCGTCAGACGTCAGCGCAGGGCCTCTTGTCTCCTTGGCATAAGGCTGTCGACCCAAACACTTATCCTGGGGTTTTGTCTTTAAAATACTTCCAGACTTGTTTTTGAGGAACAGAGAAATACCATGTAGAATGATCATAGCTCCTAGTTTTTCATTTAGGAAAGAACTCGGCGAGAGACTGGATGTGGAGTCTGTGTCTATGCTTATTTACCAAAATGGTTACCTGGGAGACGGGCCCAGAGTCAAAAAAGTCTGAGTCCAATCAAAACTGTATTAGTTTTGTTTATGTAATAGCATAAAAATCAAGCTACACTGCTGATTTAAGAATAAAATGCTACAGTAAACTGAGATTTTATTCATGTTTGTTTAGCAGATGTGAATCAGTTAGCCGTATTAGACCCAGTGATTCAAGCAGACAGGAAGCCCTGGAACTAATAAACTGTTCAGAGTTAAATACTGGAAGTGTATTAGTACATCAACTTCCAGCCTGTAATAGTCAGCCACACTTATGATTTAAAAGTGTGTGTTCTGTAGATGAAAGATCAGGACATCCTGCAACATATCAATTTATACAACTTCAGCTGACATGAATTACTGCACTCAGTTCCTCTCAGGCGCCATGGTCACTGCTCAGTTAAGTGGCTGAAGAAACGCGCTGTGTCATTGAACTCCAGAACCGACAGAGAGAGAGAGAGAGAGAGAGAGGAAATCCTGCAGTCCTGTTTAAAATAAGAAAGAATCTGTGCATGTGCCACCCTTTTCTCTCTGAGGCTCAGTGAAACCAAGCCTGTGCCTGTTCATCTATCAGAGCAGCACAGTTGGCCCCTGCAGTCCTGCAACTGTTTTGCTGCCTGTCACTGCACATGGCTCTGATTTGCTGCCTTATTAAAGAGTGTGTGCCTCCTCAACTCCTGTAAATGAAATGCCCAAAGAGGCCAGTGTCTGTCCACTCAGCGCCTTGTCTCTGGTCTGTCTAGACCACAGAGACAGTTCTGTCTGATCCAGACAGAAGCTGAGCAGTGGGATGGATGCATAGACGGCTTTGATGACAGACTGCAGTAGTTTTTCATTCTCACTCTGCAAGAAAAAAAAACGGACTGAGTCAGCAGTAATTGCCCCCAAAGTCACAGAGAAAAAGAGTCCAAAATAAGTGTTTGGGAGTCTGTAAGGCAACCACTGTGTTTACATGGCTCCAAAGCTCTGCACAAGTCAAATGTTCTATATACAGGCTATCTGAGAAACCAATCTCTTAATCTCCCTGTTTCCTTTTACCTTCATCTCATCACGTAAAGCAGCCACAGAGCAGAGACTCTCATTTTTCAGACGTGAGGCAACTTTTTAATCTTGATTAAGACATTTTTTCCCCCTCCATCCTCTCAAGAGAGCTTTTAAAAAATGTTTTAAGTCCAAATGAGCACTTCTTCTGTCGGTGCCAGAACCCCCTTCCGCTTAGAAATATTTGCTCTGGACGCCAGCCTTGCCCAGCACACAACACGGGCAATTATGGGAGGCTATTTCAACAGAAGAAATCTACTGACAGGCGACGCCTCATTTGAAGGGATGAAAGAATCAGGAAATGAAACTTTCACTGATGGACTGAGGGTATGGAAAGAGAATCCCCAAGGCCCTCGGAGACTGGGTTTATATCTCATGGGCATTTTGTGCCTGTGTTGAAGACATTTGTATGTGTAGCTGTTACTGTAAATGTATGAATTTTTGGGCTCTGAGAGAGAAATAAAGTTTGTATGTGTGTGTTAGGATATTTCCTCCTATGAGTTGTGGAGCTGGGTTTTTCTGTGCCTGTTAGCAGTTTATCTGCAAAGGAGCAGCTGTAGGTTGCTGGCAGCTTTTGTCAGTTCAAAGGTCTTCTCTCTGTTGCGGCCACTTTCTTGATGAAGTGATGAGAGCATGAGGTCAACACCAAAGCAGCCACACAGTTGAATGAAAGCCTGGCCAACATTTTTTTTTTCTAAAGTACTGTTTCCCCCCCCTGTACTGAGACATGAAGTCTGAATGTTAACTTTACTGGGCAGTGTTCTTCTGTGTGCACTGATTCATCTGGCTGCAAAGTGGTGCTTTTCTCATTGACTTCAACTGACATGACAGATTTAGTTTTAGAGGAAACAAGCAGTTTTGCTGTTGAAATGTGACAACGGGCCATTGAGGGTCAGGAGTGCTACCTGTCACTGACCTACTTACCCCAGAGGTTTCTGTCTAGTCAGGTGGCACCTTGTGAGCACAGCACATGTGTGCTTGTGCATTTGCGTGCTTTGTGCATTACATTTGCACATCTTGATTTGAATTCATGTCTCTGTATTTCTGTGTGGAAAAAGAAGAAAGAAGAGGACAGAGTGAAGTTTAATTTCAAACACTGCAGGGCTGAGAATTCCCCTGAAAGGAAACTTAATCTAGAGGCCTTCTCGGACTGGACAAATAGACAGTAAATTAGTTTTGCATGACGGTTTATTAAAAACCTTGTATATACAGCAGATTATTGATACACAGACAGAGCATGGGTAAGGTTCCAGTGTGGTCAGTGCAAAGGAGTGGAGCCCAGATCTACAGGGGAAGAAGGAATATATGAGTGTCATCTCTAGAACCACAGTGCAGTCACGCACAGGGGAGGTCGAGGCCACTGAGCACTGCAGTATGCCAGACAAATAACATCAGAAAACGTGACATTGTGCAAGATCTTTCTTTTTTAAATCAAACGAATATATCAGAAGATGAATAGATGCTCCACCGCTGTTCATTTGTTTCTCTTGTCAAGTTACACAGTGAGTTGGAAAAAGAAAAGCTGAGTGCCAGCTGGAGGTGCACAGTGGAAATGAAGTCAGCAACTCTTGTTTGTGGTCAGTCTTCCTTTCGTTCCCTGTGGTCTCCTGCGACACCTTTGTAAATGCTCTACCACTGTATGTGCTTGAGGTTGACTCGTATGGCTGTCTCCTGCTTCTATCTGTGCTTTTTCTCTCCCTCATTTCCCACTCCCTGCATTCCTCCTGTGGTGGGGCTGACAGACACTCGTCATCAGCAGGTACTCTAGCCCAGGTGGATCAGGTTTCCCATTTGCCAGGGGATTGTGCTGTGTGTGCATTTTTATGGCTTAGTTATGCACAGTTGGAGGTTTTCAGTGCAACACTGGTGTGCTGTCATGTCAAATAACTATTAAGACAGACATGACAACTTAAGACAAACTCTTCTGGTTTTTCCTGATATCCAAGCAATTTTTTGTGCCTTGTTTTTTCTGTTTGTATGACAGCTGCAATCAAACCACAACCACTGGTGGTTTTAGCTACTAAATGGTGGAAATGGGTAGTTTAAAGCACTGCACTTTCAAATTCAATTATCAAAATTCAGTGTGTAGTGATGGTGAGTCATGTTGGCCAGTAGGTCCACCACTTTAGTCCAGACTGAGCGATTATAAGATGGATTGCTATGAAATTTTGTGCAGATATTCATGGTCCCCAAAGGTGACTTGACTGACGTGACTGTAACCAAAATGACTGACTGGCTCTTTGACAATGCTCTTATTCAGTGATTTTATTTATATGTCTGCAGAGGTGATTCTATTCCTTACTTTTCAGATTATTGAACTGCTTAGAATTATCGTAATAATAAATGATAATTGGAATGATTTGTCTGAATTAATCTAGTTCACATCAGACATTGGCCACCACAGAAGCCCAGAGACTTCAGTGATCCGCTGATTTTTGAGCCTCAGCCGTACTTTATGTTTAGTACTAATTTAGTGCCAAGATGATGAAGGTGGTAAACATGTTAAGCCACTCTGTGCCTAGTTACAGTCTCACAGAGCTGCTATGTGTAGTATTTGTTCTGTTAACAAGTGTTCTTTTTAATTTTGTTTTGTGTGTTTGTCTCCTGGCAGATGTGGACGAGTGCTCAGAAGGCAACGGCGGATGCCAACAGATTTGCGTCAACATGATGGGCAGCTACGAGTGCCGCTGCAGAGAAGGATTCCTCCTGAGTGACAACCAGCATACCTGTATTCAAAGGCCTAAAGGTTCCACACATTCTGATCTTTCTTTAGTTCTGAGGACATTACATCATTGACAATGCATTGCTTAACCCTAATTCTAACCTCAGCTATGGCAACAAATGCCTTACGATAACCTTAAACCTAACACTAAACTTAATTCAAATCTTAAATATAAAATCTTAACCCCCAGACGCCCCTTTGAAGGTGTGAGGACACACATCACAACAAAAAATTGTCTACACAACCATAAAAACACATGGTCATACACGCACGCACGCACGCATCGATAATTGAATGAAAATCTCAATATACACGTTAATCATAAAGTCTTTATGTAACATGCAAATGTTCAGATCCAGGCAAGTTTAAATAATACGCTGAGCTGTGCAGATTAAACTCAGAATGGGATCGACCCCGACAGGTCTCAGTAAAAGCAGAGCAAATGTAAAGCTCTCCAGTCTGAAGGGGCAAGAAAAAAGGAGGACTAAATCTCTTTTTATTTTCTACCCACCCTTTCAAATTGAACCATTGCAGCATTTTAAGGTATTGTTGGTATGAGAGTGGCCTGAGGGGGACTTGAGTAGAGAAAACAATTAAAGATGTAGCCTGGAGCAGACATGCCTCATGTTTATAGAGCATTCTTGTGGGATGGAAACGCGACAGGAGAAGGTACAGAGCCAACTTGCTCTGAGGCTTAGTCATCAGACACAGGAGCACCGAGGACAGACATACATTCATAACATCATACCTGCGTTTAATGCAAAGTAAGCTGTAAAAAACACCTACATAGTCTAGTAGGAATTTTATTCACTGAGTTTTACAAATCTGTGAAACAATGGCATATATATAAATATATAAATAAAACACTAGGTGACACCAAACCTGTGTACCTGCAACATTAGAGAATACAACTTGGGTTTTAGCTGATGTTGTATTTGTCCTCATTTGGTGGAGGCTGACATCACCACATCAAGCCCCTGTGCCAGGCTTCAGACCGGACCGTCCACCGAGTGCAAAGAATGAAATGACCGATTTACAAAATTGTGATCCTTACAACACTACTGAAAAAAGTCAGTAGCATCACTGGTCAACACTAGCTGCTGCTAGTATGGAATATTTCTTCTTGATTAATTTTCTCAAAAGAGGATGAAACTGGTTCTCATTAGTGCCTTTATCTCTTTTCAAGACATGGGATATTTTTTCACTCTTAATTTTGTTATTTGTTGTGCCCGTTTCTCTGCAATGGTCTAATGGCACCTCACAGGAAAGTGATTGCCACCAGCTGTTTACAAACCACCTAATTTGTGTATTCATTGGCTTTTTAAAAATTATTTTCTTGAAATTTAGTTAAAATTTGTGCCACATTTAGATGGAAACCCAGTTTTTGTAGGTTTAATCATGATCCTGCATACAGACTTATAGATCAGCTAACAACGTTGGCCCCTTTAACCATTCAAATTAAGGTGATATTATAAAAAATGTTAATGCTTGGACAAGCGCTCACATACCCAGACATGTCTCATGGTGAATGATGATGTATATGGCACTATTACAGCAAAAAAATGAATAAAGATATTCCTTTTTCCATTTTGTAATTACATTCTGAACAAATAAATCAAAACAGACACCAATGCTTTCATCTTTCACCACTGCAAAGATGAATTTTAATTTCAATTCAACTTTAAAGGCAGACACAGTCTGCTGCTGGAGATTTAGGTCACTGACTCCAAAATATAAATATCCTTGATTTCTGTAGAGCAACATCAGAGAAAATGAGCAGTGGTTGCCACTTTTACAAAACAAATTTATTCAAGGAGTAATTATCCAGATGTTTATAGATTCCTCAGCTTTGCCAGTTTGGGTGTTTTACGTAGATCTTGCAGTTCCTGGGAATTATTCGGAGAGCCCTGCGGGAATGTATGGCAGGGTTTAACCATCTTTTGTAAGGTAACTGGCCATGTTGAGAGTCCTTAGGCTGTGATGTCCCCTGGATAGTGAACTGAGGATCTTAGAAGTCTGGTTTATGAGCTCAGTCTGGCCTGGGGAAACTGTCAGTGTTTACGTTTCATAAACGCACTGTTATTTGAGAGGAGTAAAAAGCTGGATCATGTGTTTCAGAGCACCACTATTACGTCAGTACTGTCTGAAGAAGACAGTGAGCATTGGTCCTGTCTTGCTGAGCTTCCCTGTCACTCATTCACTTCCTTTCTCCTCTTTCTTTCTTGATAAATGGCCCCAGTTCATACTCATTTTGTCTTTATTGCTTCCAGCTGAGACCCATTTGGATCGAGAGATTAAAGCTGCTATAAATATATAGGCTTTCTTCACTCATCAGATAACTACTCTGTCATTATTACATTATTTTGAAAGACAGAAAGAACTGGTCCTCATTTTCTTATTACTGCTCTTATTACAACAGTGTGTTTCTGGAGGAAAATGGGAATTGTGAGGAAGCAGCTTATTGTCCAAGTTATTAGACAGCGGCCTTGCAAAATTGTTGCTAATATCACTCCCCTTCACTATCTGAAAAATTATACACAAGTGGGTCTAAAAAAAATCATTGAGAAAATTAAAGCTGATCTAGTCTGTCTTTAAATGCAGCCCTCCATCCACCCTGCCAAGTCTCCTCTTCCAGAATAAAGCCTGGGGTGCAGTTTGCTCAGGAGCTTTATTGTTCTCATTAAAAAGACATCAGCCTTCCGTTTCTTTCATTAATGGGTCAGGTGTTCCCTGGACAATTGTGTGTCTTTGTGGGACAGTAAGCGCTGGTCACCGTAGTGCCCAGCACTACCAGTCTCTCCTGCTGGTAGGAAGCTCTTGTTAGCAGTGAACCTTTGCCAATTATGCAGCAGGGGTCTACCAGGCTCTCAGCTAATGACAATGCTGCTGCTGGTCTGTCTCTTATTAGACCTGCCCCTGCCCGCTGAAGAGGAATAAGTCCGGCCAATGGAAGACTCCATAGTAGAGCTGGCCACAATGTAACAGTTCATTTATTCTCCCCAAACATTTCTCCCAGTCAGGAAATAAAGCCTTTGAAATGCCAGCCAAGGTGCTTAATGGCTGATAGGAATGCCACTTAGGTCAAGAAGGGTTCCACTGCTTTGCATTTAATTTATTGTCTCTTTTATATAGGAGGTGAACAGGGATGTATGTGTGTGTGAGATGGGATCCAGCACACTGGAAGTCAGGAATTTAAGCTCAGTCAACCTGCACTTGTATAATTTTAGTTGTCTGCATTTCTGAATATCCAGCAGGACAATTATGTTAAGTGTACGCTGTTGCATAAGTCACGTACTGTATATTTATACATGTAACTTGTGTATTCAGTGCTCGTCTTCATCGTGTTATATATGCTCATATACTGAACATCTGTTGTTTTGTGGTGATGGTCGTACATTAATTTAAATATCTTGCCCTAGATTTTGAAATAGTAATAAAATATACAGTGTATTTATTTAAAAATTATTTATTTATATGTTCTAATTTTTATAAACAAACTGATATATTAAAAAATTATCTGCAGATTATTGATAATGAAAATCAATTTGCAGTCCTAGTTCAGTGTGGCCCACTATACCACAAAATGTTCATGTCACGGCTTTCAAAGCAATATTTATTTTTACAATTTTAGCAAAAATAAAGGTCAATCTTTATTATTCCACATAGGGAAATCTGACATGCAGTACCAGTAACAAATATAATATAAATATACGATATGAAATCCAACAGAAAAAAATAGACGTAATTAAAAACATTTTTAAAAATTGCCTTGTTGTTCTTTCATCAGCCACCTGGCTGAGGATACCAGAGGATCTCTAGCTCTCTCTCTGAACAGCAGGCCTCATCTTTCCAGGAAATGTTGACTTTGTTAGAGAAAACCTCCTCTTGTGTTTACAGCTTTCATGAGCTTCCCAAAGAGTTAGTTACTGTACCGCTCGGGCAGCTTATCTCTTCTGTCTCTCTTTCTCATATTCAGATATGAGCACAGTGAAGTTGATAGACGCAATCACATGCACACAACTTAATCATTTTCAGTTTACTCATTCTGGAGGCGCATGCAGACACGTTCTTCAGGATGTGTGTTTTCTGTGCTGGCTGAGATTGTAGCAGTGCAAGAAATTTCCCAGTAAATGTGATCAGAGTCGTGATATATGGCTGAATAATATTCTCAGTTTGCTCTCCAGACATGACATTTTTTCTGTATAAAATCAGGCACACAATCACAGAACCTAGTTTATAGCAGTTTTTTTTTCTTTTTGCGAAAAGATAAAATTAGCCTACTTTCTTACAACGTCATATCTATTTAGCAGACGGCTGTACATTTTAATATTATGATGTGCTGCTAAAGGGTCAGTATCCATCATTCCACATCATTCCAAATTCTAGAACTATTTGTAATAGGGGATTTTAGGAGCGTTTATGTATGTTCATGTCTTGTGCTGTGTGGTTGTTCCTTTATGTATGACCCACGATGGTTCTTATATGTTGCCCTCGTTGGTTCTCAGCAGGCCTGCCTGCCCGCCCGTCTGTGCATTGGCCTCAGAATTGTTTTTACAAGTGCAGAAGTCACTGCTCCATTGCTCTGCAGTCCAACCGTATAACCAGGCTCTTTTCCTATTCTAAGGAAGTGGTGCGAAGGGAACGCCTCATGCTCCCATTGCTACCGCAGCAGAAGCAAAGACATATGGGACACTTTAATTTCCCTCTCATCATTTTCTGTCCACCCCTCTGCTGTCCTCTTCATTCTTTCCTTGTTGCTTTCCTACATTATCGTCCCTCATCGTCCCTCTTTGTCCAGACTTTCATCGCCTTGTGCCCCGTCCCCCTTCACCCCCACCCTTGAACAAATATACATTGGTGACTTGGGATTTAGCAAATGTTGGCTGCCTTGCCACTGAATTCTCCGCGCCAGGCATCCCCTTTGCTCGTGGGTTTGTTGAAGGCCATCTCTAAGCTGGTTAGTCCAGCATGCTGCTGCGGACTGTCGGAGTGCCAGTGGGGTTTTTCCACTAACACTTAGCTGT